TGCGTCCAGTTCTGGCGCCCCCAACATAAGAAGGACATGGACCAGTTGGAGAGGGTCCAGAGGAGGGCCACGAAGATGATAAGAGGGCTGGAGCACCTTTCCTATGAGGACAGGCTGAAAGAGTTGGGGCTGTTCAGCCTGGAGAAGAGGAGGCTCCGGGGTGACCTTATAGCGGTCTTCCAGTACCTCAAGGGGGCCTACAAGAAAGATGGGGAGAGGCTGTTCAGGAGGGCCTGTTGTGATAGGACAAGGGGTAATGGTTTTAAAATAGAGGGAGGTAGATTCAGATTGGATATTAGGAAAAAATTTTTTACCATGAGAGTTGTAGAACACTGGAACAGGTTGCCCAGAGAGGTGGTGGATGCACCATCCCTGGAGACATTCAGGGCCCGGTTGGACGAGGCCCTGAGCAACCTGATCTAGTTGGAGATATCCCTGTTCCTTGCAGGGGGGTTGGACTAGATGACCTTTGAAGGTCCCTTCCAGCCCTAACCATTCTATGATTCTATGAATGCTGAAGTCAGAGCACTTTATGAATGTAATCGATGAGTAACCCTTTCAGGGCCCCCATTGTATAATAGTCTTTATAAACTGGCAAAGGCAGTCCTGGATAGTAAAATTTTGACTAAGTTTAAGAAAATTTCCAAAGCATGCAGTCTGACAGTGTACGAGTACGTTTTTGTAATGCATTGTAAACAGTTTACATGAAATACTACAATCTTCTTCAAACTGTTTGTCATATCCATTTCTCCACTGATTGTCATAAAAGGCAAATAGTGAAAATAGTTTGTTTATATATTACAGAAACCAAAAAGAATGAGTAGTAGCCGTCCAAAACAGTGGTTTTAACTGACCCTGTAACTCAAAAGAGTTTTACTTCTTCTAGTTGTTCTGGGGTTTTTTTTGTTTTGTTTTCTTGGAAAGTAAGCTTGTATTCAGTGTAAGTGGAGGTGTTGAGGGAGATCTAGAGCCTCCTGGGGACAAATAGTGCTTTTCAAATTACTTATTTGCAGTTGATCTACCTCTGCTTGGTCCTGACTGCCAAAGAAAGCTTCTAATTAGCACTGATGAATTTTCTTTCCATAATTTTAACTAGTTTCTTTCTGAAATACTGCAAGATGCCTCCTAAACCTGCCTTGCAGAATGTAATTGGTTTGAATTTTTATCAGTCTGGGTTCTTTTGCCAGTTAACACTTCTAATTTTTATGGTCACTCCAAAACAGGTTATGTTGTAGCTTAATAAAACTTCCTGTTTTCTTCTGTTATCATGGAAAACACTGGAGAAATACTGTAGCAAAGGCAGTCAAATCAAACTATGTATTTGAAATAAGACTATGAAGTCTTTCTTTTCAGGTGTAAATCCACTGCTCTAGAAAGTTTTCCCTGAAGTCAGTATTTAAAAAGAAATAACTGGAAACCATTCTTCAAAGATAACGTTGTTCTTTTTATGTCTTGTTTTCTAAATGCATCTTTTATCTTAGTAGATTGACATGGATAGATGTAGTGTAATGGCAGTATACTTTAGAACAGGATGACCTTTTCAGGATATTTACTCTTATCTTAGTGTGTGTGCTCTTTTTCTAAAGAAAACTTTTGCATTAGTTGATATCTGTAGGTAGAATTAAATGAGGAATTAAAATTGTGAAGTCTCCTGGTACATATACTGCCTTAAAACCACCCAGTTACAGCTTTCCATGGCTTTCAGCTTAGCTGTTAACAAATTTTTCAGAAGCTAAATAGCTACTTCCATTTTGCTAAATCATGACAGTTTTTGTAAAATATTTTGATTTAGCTCAGCCTTAAAATCTACATTTGATTTTTGGAATCTATTAGTTACAGCCTGTAAACCAGCTGTGTATACACACATATGAACAGTATTAGGCTTAATTCATGTTTTTTTTTGATAATTTATTTTATGTAAAAGATTCCTTTAATGAAATTATGCTTGTGAATTTCATGTCTTCAGGGTCCATGTGTGCATGATGAAGAATCTGGCCTCTCTCAGACAGGAAAACCTGCACTTAAGGCACTTTTGTATCACTGCCAATTCTATGAACATGTGAATCAGATGGTGCAGCACTGTTACCTAGGATGTTACATGTTTGATTTGAATTCTTACAAGGAAGAGAACCTCATCATAGAAAAAGCTGGTATAACTGGTAAGTGATGTTAATGTAATCTTGTAGTATTTTAAACCTACTTAAATAACTTCTAGTTTTGAGTAACTTACCTCGAAATAATTCTTACTAAAATACTAATATATAAACGAGGAACTTAAATGTGTTGTTAAGTCAAAATAACTGCTCTGAGGATTTAAGAGGTAGGTAAGTCACTAGTTTAACATGTCTCAGAAAAAGCCCTGAGCTCTTACATCTTTAAAAAGTTGCAGAATCAATTACATCTTTTCCATCTATAATACATATTCTTGTGAAATATTGGGGTAAAATATTTTTTACAGTTGTGACTTTGACAGACCAGTACAATGAAAGTTCAGGAAAAATAAATATACAGACTGTTTCTAAGAGTCCTACTTCTGTTTTTTGATGTGTTCAACTTCAAAGATAGATGAGTAGGAATGGGCTCTAATATGCTGAAGTTAGCTGCATTCTAAGACATTTAGATATCATTTAATTCATAGACTGATCAAATGTAATACTCAGATTGGATTGGTTTTTTTTAATTTTATTTAAGCCTGCATACCCTTGGAGTATTTCAGACCTAACTTTTGTATTGACTGATCATTTTCTGAATGATATTTCTAAGTCTTACTATGATGCATTGTGGGAACTCACGTTCTTGTCCAACGGTGTATTATGATCTTAAGTTTGGAAAGCTAGGAAATTCTTTAGAGAACTCAATTAGTAAAAACTGTTCAAGGGAGGGAAAATTAGTAAGTTCATCCTTCTGAAATCTTTTTTTTTGTGTGCCTAAGTTTCTGTATTTCGATCTCTAAGGAAGCATGAACAGAAGAGGAATGTTACTTCCCCTACCAAGTTTTGACTTTATGACAAACTGAACCAATAATATTTCTGTTCCTTAACTGTCGTGGGTTATGTTGAACCGCCCCACACACAGCCGGTCACTCCCCCTCCCCCACCCCCAGGAATGAGGGAGAGAATTAAAGGATAAACGTGAAACCCGTGGGTTGAGATAAGAGTGATTTAATACAGATGATTTAATACAATGTAGGTGCTCACCACCCCTCGTATGCGAAGCCCGTCTCGTCCCGAAAACTGCAAATCCCGGACGAACGCGAGGCCCCGAAATAGAGAGGGGCAGAGAGGGAGAGAAAGAGAGAGAGAGAGAAAGAAAAAAAAACAGCAGAGCAACAGCGCAGCAAGCGCAAAAGAGCAAAAGTGCAAAAAGAGCAAAAGCGCAAAAGCCCTTCTTCCCGGCTGACCCTCGCTTTTATACTGGGCATGACGCTGCATGATATGGAATACTAATTGGCCAGTTTGGCCCTCAGTCTTAAGTTCCACACAAATGACAAGGGGAATCGTGTCCCCCTTGTCCCAGCTATGCTCCCCCCCTTATCCTGCCGTGTTTCTGTACTCCGCACACTGAAAAGTCCTTGGAGTTTCACTTCCAACCACAAACATCAGCTTGCTATCAACATTCTTCTCAGAGTGAGCCTCTGAGTGAAACCAAAACAGGGAGCTCTTCTGGCTATTAAAAAAAAAAACTCTGTCCCAGCTAAAACTGGGACACTTAACTCACTGAGTTATCAGAAGTATGTCAGCAGTATACAAAATTCCAGCCATAAAAATCCTCAGTTTCTTCTGTGGCTGCTTTATATATCTGTAAGTGTAATTTCTTTCAATCCAACACATTTCACTCCTCCTACGGTCCTCTGATTTGTGCCTCTGGGTAGTTCTGTTAGCTGATGCAGTATCATATCTAAGAGCAACTCAAACTCCAGGATTGTAGAGCTTTTTAGTGAACAGTTAAAAAAAATGTTTTTCAAGGAGCTTTGAAATAAGGGGGAAGAATCATCTATGATATTTCAGGAACAAGAATCAAAATTTTTGTTTCTTTAAAAAAGAAAGGGAGGCCAGGACAATTTTTCTCCATCTCTATAGTATTTGAAAGGCTTTTAAGTCCTTCATTCATATGTTCACAATTGTGTTGCTTATCTATAATGACCTGTTTCTGCTTTTTAATAGGTCCATTGACATCTCTTAATAGAATATCTTGCTTGGGTTTATCTTCCTGAAACCATTATCACCCATTTTTTCCCAATGTTTTTACCTCACATTTTTCAGGAGTATAACAGAACTCATCTGAAAAGTTATGTTAAAAATAAAGTTAGTTAGCTCAGTTTAGTAATTAGCTGTGTGTAAGATTTCTACTTTTGTGGGTTTTGCACTCAGAATCCGTGTAATATAGTGCTTTATTCTTTGTTGTTTTCTTCTCTATATGAAAGCCTCAAAACCTATTATTGACATGTTTCCACTATAAAATTTTTGGCACTTTTTGTTCCGAAAGGATTTTTACAAAGTATTTCTGCCTTCATTATATTTATGAATATAGCTTCTCTTGAAACTGCTTCTCTCAAAATGCGAATATGAAGTTTTTTGAAGACAAGGACATCTGTTCATTAAGATTGTGCTGTGAGACCCTAGTATCCTCAATACTTTTGTACTATTACAAAATTTATTATTTAAATAAAACTAAATCTGAACTATTTCAAATGACCAGAGGCTATGCGACTGCAGTTTAAGCTATGTAGCTTTTTCCAGACTATTTTATGTTGCACTAAAAAAATGTATATTCCTGTTTTCTCAAGGGATTTTCTGGATAAAATTCATGGGTACAATGTGTAAAAATTTATATTCTGAAATCTTCAGAATGGTAACTGTGGTTGGCTACTTTTCTGTTTCACTGAAACAATCTTTTGAAAAGCTTATTATGCTTTCTGCTGCTCTTGGAGTAACGAAAAGGAAAGCTTTTTTGTTAGATTTTGATTTTTATTCTTTTTCCTACAGATTTTGATGATTCTCTTAACCTTTGGAAGGCTCCATCCAGTCAAAGCCAATCTTCACATTCTCAGTCAACATCTGAAACTATGGTAACTTGCAGAGTGATCTATATATTTTAAATACAAAAGTGTTCATTAAATGCTTTGAAGAAATTTAGCACTCTTGCAAATGCTAAAAAAATCCCCAACAAAACACAAAACAGAAATTAAACTGAAAATTAAAAAGCTGTAACTAAATTGAAATTTACTCTGAAGTAGCTTTAATATGCTAAAGAAAATGTTTATGGTTATTTGCCCAAGCAAAAGTAAATACAATAGCTTACCTTGACTAGCTAAATGCATAAGGCAGTGCGGAATTCTGTAGCTTCTCAAAGCAAGACATACTCTCTAGAGATTATTCTGTAGTTGAGTTTATTGACAAAATGCAGTCATCTCCATCTATAGTTGTCACTTCTGCTGCTTTTATCCAAACTGTCCTTTCAGAGTGAACCTATATTTACACTACACAGCTACAGAACTGGATCAATCAAAACTACATAAATACATTGGCTTAAAATTATATACTCTGTGTCATAGGAGGGCCACAAAGATGATCCAGGGGCTGGAGCACCTCTGCTACAAGGACAGGTTGCAGGAGCTGGGATTGTTCAGCCTTGAAAACAGAAGACTTCGGAGGGACCTAATAGCTGCCTTCCAATACCTGAAGAGAACCAACAGGAAGGCTGGGGAGGGACTTTTTACAAGAGTGTCCACTGATAGGACAAGTGGAAATGGGTTTAAGTTGAAGGAGAACAGATTTAGATTATATCTTAGGAAGAAATTCTTCAGTACGAGGGTAGTAAGATTTTGGAATGAATTGCCCAGAGAAATTGTGGATGCCCCCTCCCTGGAAGTGTTCAAGGCCAGGTTGGACAGAGCCTTGAGTAGCCTGGTCTAGTTGAGAGGTGTCCCTGCCCATGACAGGGAGGTTGGATTAGATGATCTCGGAGGTCCCTTCCAGCCTATGACATTCTATGATTCTATGATAATAAACTCTGGATTCTGAAAATGCTTTTATTAAATATGAAAGTGGCATAAGTGTTTTTAAGACCCAAAATGGACATGAAAAATATAAGAAAGCGGGTGGCTGCTTGAAAAATTTATTTCTGGCTAGGGTGATTACTGCAATGAAAGTCTGTAAACATGTGCTGTCTTTTAAGATGGCAAGTGCAAAAGAAGAGAAATTGAAATATGTCTTCCAGTTCCAGAGTAGATTTGCATGATCAGATCAGGCTGTGGAGGAAGCTTTTATAGCATTCATTAGTTACCTGATAAAACCATATCTTTTCAAAGGCTGCACCATAACTCCAGGAAAACTCTGACATGTTGCACTAAAATCCATATTTAGAATTTTATATAATTTCTTCAAAAATGTTTGATTCATTAATAACTATCTAATGTAATATGGAAGGCATAATACCATAGCTGAGAAGTTTCTTTTCCATTAAATAGATGTGCTGATATGACAAAGACTGATTAAGCACAACAAGATTCGATCTTATTTTATTCACTAGAATTGTTATGCCCAGTTTTACGGTGGATCGTGATAAAGGACAACATAAAAAAGGCAGTATTGAAATTTTATCTCAAAATATTTCATGATTTTTCATTACTGTTTTGACTATTATAAATGTATTGCTATCTAGAACTGTTACTGTTATCTGGCATGTTTTTGATATTTGAGGAAAAAGTATACTCTAATCTTAAGCTAAAATTACTCATTTTCAGAAATGTTGTTTATAAACTTGATTTTAATTTGTCTAAACCAAAACAAAACCCCCCCAAAACCTATAGGTTCGAAGGGTTTAATTAATTTCAAATTCAAATTTGAATATTTGAAACTAAAATAAGTGAAAGTGCATTAAATCAGGAAGTAGATGCTGACATGAATACTGCTTTAAAAAAACACATTTATGTAAGAATCTCAGGTTGTTTAAAAGCAGTTGTTTCCAAATTGCTTTTTACTGAGTTAATTGAGTGCCACTTTCTTACAGGAATAAAAGTTGAACAAATTTAGTGTTGTGTTCATAGAATGGAATCATAGAATGGTTAGGATTGGAAGGGATTTTAAAGATCATCTAGTTCCAACCCTCCTGCCATGTTTTTGTTCATGTTACTTGAGGCAAAAGTTAAATTTCAACAATTGTTATCAGAGTTAAGTGTCTAATCTACTTAAAATTGTGCTTGAGTTCTCATGAAGAGTTGAGCTCATTTCATGAAATTGCTTCAGCTTCAGTAGCTTAAAAAATGAAAACGAAAAAATAATTTTGAATATACTAGATCAGATTAATGTATTTTTATTTATAAGTGTAAGTAGCATCATAGTTTAACATAAAAGCAGAGCTCTGCAGTTCCATTTAGCAAATAGATAACTAATTATTTAAAGTGGAAAGCAGAGTGTAATACTAAGATACACTCATTTGTATCAATCTTCCAGGTTTTGTAGACTTCATATTTACTGAGATAATGCTCTTAAAACTAATGTAAGAGTTTTATTCAAAGTTAGGTTTTGTTTTGTTTTCCTTCTTCCTCTGATACCTATGAAATTTTTGTACAAAAATTTTGATTGTCATTTATAGCAGTTAATTTTCGTTTGTCCTTTGTGGACCTTTTTAGCAGCTGTATACTTTTGGGTTTATTACCTAAGTTTCTTACCTTTAAAAAAATACCAGTGCTGACATGACAGATGATAAGTTGCTAAGCTGGAAGGCAAGATGCAAGGGTCTGATGTTCCAATGCCAGTATTAATTAGGAGAAGAAAGATAGAGGTAGGGAACTGAGGCTAAATACGAACTGTATTTCAGAGGGCAGTTAATGACTATTAAGTGTCTATCTATTTAATAAAGTTTGGAAATGCTTTTGAAAACCCAAACTTGTCCTGGAATCACACATTTGCAATTTATTCCTATATAACTTCAAATTCTATATTTCTACAGTTTGACCCAAAGCTTTCCCTTTTCATATATGAGAAAAAGAAATACATTTATGAAATAACATCTGTAGAAATTTGTCTCTTATTTTTATACATTGATGGTACCAGAAAGATGTAGTTATTCCAAGCCCACTAGATGGAGTACTTTCCCCATCACAGATGAAAGAGAGTCTGCAGGTCTTATTGAAGGGAATTATATGGTACAGATATGACAACAGCTACAAATAATTGAGTTACCAGCTGTCAAACCAAGCAGAATTGTTTCTATCGGAAGCTCTTCTCTGATATTTTAATAATGTTTAAAAAAACCCACCACAACTTCTAAATATGTCCATATCCATTCATTTCATGAATGTCAGTCTAGGAAGCAGAAACTGCATTTTTCTTCAGTAAGCCACATCTTGAAGATCTTTGCAGACATGAAAGTAATGTCTTTTTACTGAATTATGTGAAATTTTTTTCTGTGAAGAGAAAAGGTCTGCTGGATTTATTATTTTTTTTTGTATTTGAAAACAGTTCTGACGAAAAAGACACTATTAGTTTTCTCTGTTTTCAGATTTCAAGTAATCAATACTTTAATTGAGCTGCCTGCTATCAAAGGCTAATTTCACACAGGGTTTATGTAACCTTAAGTGAATATAGCATCGAAATTATTTTTTGACTTCATCATTTTTTTTTCCCCATCCACAAATTTTGGGAAAACTTTGCAGAAAGTAAAATTGAGAAAAATTAAAAAGTCAGTACATTAATAACAGAAATCTTTCTTTTTTTTACTTTAGCTGATAAAATAGTCTGTCAGAGGTCTTGCAGAGACTATAAGTACAATTTTGCCCATTTTGTAAAGAATAGTGATGTGAGGATGAAATCAGTGGTTCAAGGTTATGTAAAAGACAGCAGCAGAGCTAGACTGTCTGTACTGTGTTAACTCATATGCACTGTATTTAGAGTCTTTAAGATCTCAGTGGATTACAGATTTTTGTCACATTTATTTTTCTGTAAACTGAAATGTGGATACTGCAAACAACTCAAATCTGAGAAGATTAAAAATTTTTGTCTTTTATAGAATTCATAGTTTAAACATTAACTCAAGTTATTGTTACAGAGAACAAATCCCGGTTCTTACTTTAACCAGCATGTTGTTTCATGTTTAGTATGGGTGATTGAGAACACCAATCAGCATGGATATACTTGCTTCACACTGCTTAAATACACTAGGACTGTTCTGTGCCCAGGACTTCTTAGCAAAATGAGCAGTTATTTGGAAACTTGAGCTAAAAATGGTGCAAGTTAAAAGATCTACAGACATTTCCCAGATAGCTTTAAGTCATGGCCATTCTTTGCTATGAAATCTTCTTGCTGTTTTATAAAAATGTGTGCTTTGTTTTCTGAAACCATAGTTACCAGAGTGCTATACAGTTAAGTGATTTAAACCTTTGAAAATAGAACTGAGTAGAATAAATCACTGCAAGCCTATTAAAGCAATGCCAGAGGGATTTTTATACTAGAGGTTAAGAAAAGACCTTTTATTCATTTCTAGTAGATAAATGGCAAAACTCTTACGTTTCTTCTGTGTTTCCACTCAGACAATTTTCGCATTCTTTTGTCATAGTTTTCATCTGCAGTCATCATCTCCCTCCCCACAGAAGGCCTTCTTTTCCCCAGTTAAACCCCCTTCCAAAGGCTGTCGTTTCACTGTTAAGCAGCAGAACGCTTCATTGCTCCCAGAAAGAATATGGTGGCTGTAGTAAATATCCTTTACTAGATACACTGTCCCAGACCCCCCAGTTCATCCTTATCAAAGGGGATTTATAAAAGCAGTAATATCTTTTCTTTCCTGGAAGGCAGAGCATTGTGGAATCAACTTCATTGTGTTACTGTATGTTTTCTGTTAAGATAGCAGAAAATTTCTGGTTTTAACCCATGTCCTACTGTGAAGCAATTTTCAATGAATGTTCCATCAGTGCAGGAAGCTGATATTTTTCTAAACATATAAAACTTTTATTGATTTTTTTTTTAACATATCTAAGATCTTATTTTTATGTCTTTGCCTGAAGTCTTTAGACAGTTTTAGAAGATGGAGAAAGAATTGCTGTGCAGTGTAGAAGATACTATATCTAATATATGAAAGTTTATATAAATTCATGACAATATCTTTAAGATGACTGTTAGTATAGTTATAATTCCTTTTAGGACTTGTTGCAGAAGAACTATATGGACTGTTAGAAGTTGTGTTTTGGGTTCATACATGTCAAGAAAAAGGATTGGTTTTTGTCATTTATTAGAATGCTTAGAATTGAAACATAGTGCTGAATAAATGCAGAATTAACCACATGTCAAGATGGATTGATTTTTCTTTAATATAAATAATGAATTTTAATAATTATTTAAATCAGCAAGCATGAAACTTTAAATAATCTATTTCAGTTGGCAAATATGGGGTTTATTTATACAACCTAAACAGAGTTTGAATTTCAATTGGTTGGTATAATTTGGTTCTGCATTCTGCTAACAAGAAAGTTACTTAGCCAAGCATGTCCTAGTGTTTATGTGACGCAAGCTGTATGTGAATCCTGCGTTTCAGACATGCACTCCAAAACTTACTGTAGCTTATCTTCTGTGTTACAATAACCTTCTGTCTTTTTGTGAGGAAAAGAGAAAGAGTCAAGACTGTAGGATTTCATAGATTTCTAGGTTGGAAAAGACCTTAGAGATGATCAAGTCCAACCGTCCCTAATCCCCATTAAACCATATCGCTAAGTAGTTCATCCACCCTTTTCTTAAACACATCCAGGGATGGGGACTCAACCACCTCCCTGGGCAGCCTATTCCAGTGGCTGACAACCCTTTCAGAGAAGAAATACTTCCTAACATCCAACCTGTACCTTCCCTGACTAAGCTTATACCCATTTCCTCTTGTTCTATCACCCATCACTAATGTAAAGAGCCCTTCCCCCACCTCCCCACCATCCCTTCTCAAGTATTTGTAGGCTGTAATCAGGTCTCCCCTCAGCCTCCTCTTCTCCAGGCTAAACAGCCCCAACTCCCTTAGCCGCTCCTCATAAGTTTTATTTTCCAAATAAATGTAGGATGGGCAGTAGTGAGAGACCAGAGGAAAATAGGGGAGAGAAGGGAGTTACAGCATGGAGGTAGCAACCTTTCACTCATGCAGGGACTTTATTCTCAAGAAAGATACACAGACAGAAGCCTAACAATATTTGAAAGTGATGGGAGAGTGGAAGGTGGGGCTAGACAAGGGATGAGAAAAGACTTAAGTAGAGAGTTTCTGTAGTTCGAAGTGCTGATGAGTAAAACCCAAACCTGGAAAGCAGTGACCTAACTGCAAGGATACAATAGCTAGGAAGGAGTAATGTTTCATTTCTTTCCCTCCACCCTTGTCAAATAAGTTTGAGTTTGAAATATTCAATAACTTTGAAATATTTCAGTCTTCTGTAAAAAGCTCACTGTGAGGAAAAGTCTTAATAACATCCTTCTTCATGCTGTGACTGTTTTGGGGTTTCATTGGATTCCCCAATATTCTTTTTTCTTTACTCTATTTAGTGACACTCTTGAAGATTTATCTGATGTGAATTGTTCAGCAGAAAACAAAAAATAGAAGTGAATAAGTGACCTGACAGGAAATGCTTATCCCATACTCTGAAACAAGTCACAGGTCTTCTTGTGGCACAAAAACATATTATTAAGCTGCAGGCTGTAGTTCTTCTTATCTGAAGCTTGTGGTTTTAATCATGGTAGCAAGAGCATTAAGAACTTTTGAAAGCATGCAAGATTAATAATATGATAGACGATATAGAAGGAGCATGGTAGTATGACAGTAAAATTATCTACTCTCATGTAAATATCTCATATCTTCACCATGAAATTAATACATGTAAGGATCATAGGACTAAGATTAAGAGAAGTACCCAGAGTTGGAAAGGTTCTGGAACTTCAACTTTGGCTGATGACTAATGCAGTTGTGATATTTTTATCTGAACGTGTTCTGGTACAAATGGACAAGTGCTGATGTTTTCAGTAGAGCAAATAGTCCATGAAAAATTTGAGTTTAAATGCTTCAGTAATGCCTTTCTATTTTAGTCCAAACATAGATTGAGTCAATTATATGGATGAAAAGGAAGGATAAAGAGGAGGAATTTCCAGTAACGTGGGCATTGATCAGTTTTTAACTGAAATGTTTCAGGCTGTTCATATTGCAGATCTTTCAATAGTTTCAGTTGGATATTTATAAGTTATATATATTGTATGTATGTACGTATAGTGAGCAAAATGTAATCAAATTGATTTTAAACTGTAATTTTTACATCGGTTTTGGTTTTGTGGGTTTGTTGTCTTTGGTGGGTTGGAGGTTGTTCCCCCCATCCTCTCTGAAGACTTCTAGCAAAATATAAATAGAATTCTGTTCTATAAAAGCTAGAATCAATTAGTTTCCTTTTTATGTCTTTCTAGATTCAGTCTGCATCACCGTCACTGGGTAGCATTACTGAGCTTCAGGCAATAGTCCCAACAAATTCAACCAATTTTATTCCTGAAACTGTAGTTGATCGACTTACGGCACAAGGTAAGTCAAACTCAGTTTGTATACATAATGATGCATATGATGAACTGCCCATATTCCAGTATTTGTACATGCATATAAATCTTGTATGTTGCTTGAACAATCACCATTTATGTTTCTAGTGGTTGTTTTGGAAGACAAGCATGAAACACTTCCTTTAATATGAAATAGGATGAAATACGTTTGACAGAAATAGGTGAAAATGATTGACACTGCTTGAAATGTAACTCAAGACTTAGGTTCTGTTCCTGTCATCCAGTCACCATTTTAAAACAATGTTTGTAAAGCTGTCATATACACACATGCACATGCACACATGTGCACACACACACAGAGATGTATATGTAATTCTCTTTATATGTAGAAAGATGAAAATGTATATGTAAAAAATATATAAAATTATGTTTGCAGACCAGATATATGTACAAATATAATTTTTTTCTGTTAAGGAAAGAAGTGAAAATTTATATCTTTCAAAATTTACCATTTATCTTTAACAATTATTCAATTATTAGTCTCTTGTAGAAGAAACATTTTATTTCAGAACCATTTTAATTAACACTTTTCCTGTATCTGATTTATTTGTTGGTTTTTTTTTTTTCTTAACCTCTTTCCAGAATATACTGTTTTAAATGTAGAGGGGACCTTGGGTATTTTATTAAAAAGAAAAAGTAATTTGTTTTATATAACTACTCTAATTAATCTTTTCTGTTTTTTCTTTTTCTTTTTTTATTAAACAAATTCTAGGTCAAAGTGATACAACCACAACAGAATCTCCAAGTCAACATGATTCTCTCATGTCTGCTACTTTGCCTAAACAGCGTGCTGTAGTCACACCTGCCCTTTTGTCAGCTGTTTGCAGCCTTCTGCACAATCTGCTGGTTGTCACACCAAAAGATACTGGAATTGCTCTTCAACAAGCACATTTGCTAACAAGTCTCAGCAGGTATGAGATCAATAACTTCTGAAGTACAAACAAGGTATAGCAATAGAGGTGAAAAGTTTGAAATGAGATCTACCAGTGTTTCTTACCAAAACTGTTAAATATATTGATTACTTCTTGCTTCTGATTTTTTTTTTTAAAGCCTTTTTTAAAAATTACAATCAACAAAAGAAAAGAATTTGGATTATTTCTTTTTTTCACAGAAAAAGTAGTTATATTGCTGATTCAATTTGTGATGTCTGTCTTCTACAGGACTACTTATGTAATGTTTTAGGTTTTTGTTTAGATGGCGATTTAATCATCCTTTTTGGAGGGGTAATTTTTTTCTTTAGTGGAACAGTATATGATATAGTCCAGTATTCAGAATTGCATATCATTTCAGTTCATTTTATGATTTTGTTTGAATTGTTTTGAGGATGAGCCAAGGGCTGTCAAGCACTACACTACAAGGTCCGAGCAAACGGTTTATTCGCACTGCGCCTACAGGTTTAACTGTAAGGTCCAAGATAACAATTTACTTGAACTGCACTTGCAGATTCCATACGCCACTATTACAGGTTCTTATGGATACAATGGAGGAATGCACTATTGCAATTTAAAACCAAAATATACACTATTACAATACACTATCACAGCACACAACAGAGTCACAGAATGCACTATTACACACACAAGAGTGAGAGAGCACACAAGCGCACTAGACTTAAAGCATGCTAAAAAGAAAAAAAAGAAATCACTTATCCCCTCAGGTAAGGGCTCTCAATTCCGGGAAAGTTACCTTGACCGGCATCCAGATCAAGGGGGAAAGAATCTCCTCACAGACCAGCTGTGTAGTTGGAGAAGCAGCTCCTCATTTCCAACCCAAATCACAGGGCTTTTATCCCATGAAGTACGTCACTGTGTAGGTACCATGCCTGAGGAGGGTCTTTAAGGGTGTGACAGGGAGTTTCTCCTTATCGATTGTGCCTGAATACCTTATCTCAGGCAACTGGACAATGGTTGGATTGAGACTCAGGGCATATTCTTTGTTGAGGGATTTCAAGTCTCAAATCAAGTTTTGGTTCTTTGTATAATGCAGCACTGACTCATCAGACAACTCAGGGCTGAGCGATCTCCACAGCTCCCCGTGGGTCTTCTGGGTCTCAATGCAATACAAAGCTGGGTTGCTTCTACAACCCCCCTGTGTCACCTGTGTGCTGGGCATTGCTGAGAAACTTGATTTGGATTTATGAGCCAGATGATCCATACACTGTCACACTAAAAGAGAGTAAATAAGCTTGCCAGATTTGGGAAGGTATTGGGTGATAGACCCTAGTGTTTTGTTTCTTTTTTAAAAAAGGAACCACTTCAAAATAGTCTTCAGATTGTATTTCATGTTTCCACTTGCATTGTAACAAATACTTTCCTCTGTAGAAAGTGTTTAGAAGTCCTGAAGTGAAGCATGAAAACTAGTTCAGGGCTCTTTTAAGATTTTTCAAGAGCTTTTTTAGTTGCTCTTCATACTGCAATTAATGAAAAAAACCCCACTCTTGTTTGAATACAGTGTAGATTATTACAAAGCTCTTCATTCTTCTACAGGAAAGAAAATAAGCAATCAAATGTAAACAATCATTTTTTACCATGCAGTAACAGCCATTGGTATTTATGTTAATCTAACTATTTTGAAACAGCTTACTGCTATTATAGTTACCATTGCACTAGACTTACTGCTAAACCCCACTGTTTTAAGACAGTGCTTCGTAATTCAATTTTACTCTGTTTATTTAAAATGTTGTCTTCTATGGAATGTTAAGGTAGTAGAATATGTAATTATTTACATATATTTGTAACCAACTTTATTTTATTTTAGTCTTGTAAGTGCTAATCTGGTTGAGAGATGCATCTTGGAACTGAAAGCTCCATTGGGTCATCCATGTCATATAGAACATGTAAAAGCTCAGGTTAGAGAAGCATTCGTTACTTTCTGGTTTTTTTTTGTTTTTTTTAAATTATGACATTAATTGTGTTTGCATATTCTATATTCATTAACATAGTCCAGACACGCCGCTATAGCCTACATTCATGCAATTCTCTGTGCTTTTGACAAGGTTTAACCGTGTTACATTCAACACATAACAGTTCATTTCTGTGTTGAAACTACACCTAGAACTATCAAGCTGAAAACCAGTTGTGTTTTAAAAATACAAATTGAGTTTAGCAGTTACAGAAATAATGTAATAAAATTTCTTTGTATAATATTGAAGTACAAGCCAGATACAGTTACTGACACATTTCATGTTTATTTTCCACAACAAACCTGGCTGTTTTGCTTTGTCTCCAGTCCTGCAGACACATACACAGTTCTCAACTAATTTTGATGTATGCAAACCATATAGGGTTACTACCAGTGGAAGTACTTTTGTATCAACTTTAACTCTGTATATATAACAAATAGAACATACTGTGTTCACGGCACAGCGCTGTTTTAAAGCTTCAGTTGCTCTGCATTCAGATTTAGTTTGAAGAAAGATACCCAGGTTATTAAGAAAATATGTTTCTACAGAATTCTTGTGAGAATAAATAAATAAATATGTCAGGAATCATATTTTTCCTAAAGCTTCAAATTGAGCTTCTTTGTTCAGGAAATACACATATATTTGTCAATATTAATGATCATTTTCGCGTTTTTCTTTGTGAGCTTCTGGAGACTATGATGCTGTACATACAATGAGAGTCATGACTTTCTCACAAGGAACTTTATACTTTGTCACTAGAAAATGGATTTCACACATATGTTTCCAGACTAGGAATTCTGTTTCATCTTCTACAGCAAAAATTAGCAGATCAATTTTTAATTTATATCCTATTATTTCTTTTGAGTGATGTATATGAAGTCACAATGTTATGAATCAGTTGAGGTAATGTGAGTATTTAAATGGAAAAAAAATGTGGGAGGTACAAATATATGGCTTTATTTCATATCTTTTTAAAAATATTTAACAGGTTTTATTACTACTTCAATACTTGTCATCTGTGTCCAAGCTGCTGAAATCATGTCTGTTGGTGGACTCTCAGCTTGTAATCCAGGATGAACTGTTGAAACCTCTCTTGCAAAATACCTTCATGATTCTCACCATTAGCTCCAAAGACGGGTTAGGTAATGAAGTACTTTGTTAACTGTATAGCCAAAGGCAGGTCTTCATTTACTGCTGCCTTCATTTAAATTGGCAGTTGTTGTCACGGTTAGCTTTTCAGGTTTGTGCATATGTAAATGGTTTGATTTTTTTTCCCCGTATATCTTTGCAGATCCTGAATTAACATCTGTACTTCATGAAACATGGGTAGACTTTTTCAACCTTCTGACTACGTTATTGTGGAAGAGTGGCCAAATAGCTTTTCCATCTGTGACAGCAGCTCTTGCAAATCATTGTACAGCAATAATTGGTAATAACTATTCCTGAACAGATTTTAACCTAGGAACTAATAAAATAAATAAAAAAATAGAAAAGGAGGGCA